TTGCACACATATATGACTACTTCACTACTACTATTACTGTTTTATGTGGTCTTAACAGATAAGAAGTTCAAGAATATTATCGCGAAATATTCAGCATTTATAAATCAGGACTCCGATTCCTTCAAAACTACTTTGATGATGTGCTATAATTTCTGGAATCTTTAATTGAGTTATAAATAACGAGTCTCTTAACTATAATTCTATGCGATCTTCCTTCTTTCCTGTCAGGGGGAAGCCCAATAATTGGCTCGTTTCCGTTCAACATTCGTTTTCAAGATTCGGTGTTATACACAATTCTTCGTTCTCTAGTCAGTACTGTCTGTTTGCTCTTTCCCTCTAACTTATAAATAAATAGCAGATTGAATAACAGAGCCGTGGGCATCCTAAAACAACTCTCTATGTCGACAAAGCGACCAATACAATCTATAACAGTTCTTTTATAAAGGATATAAAAATAGCCAATGAATTCAAAATGCCGGCAACATCCGAGTATTTCGATCACATGTTGTTTTTTCTACACAATTGTGACTGCGCATTTGTCCGGTAAATTTTTAAAATATTCCTGGTTCGCAACTATATTCGTGAAAATTTAAGCGGGAATTTATTTTGCGAGGCAACACACCAATACGAGAGTTCGATAAATATTTTGGTATGCGTTACTGCCGTTTGAACGTACCCGTAAATAAATAGTTGTTATTGTGGTTTTAATAGTTTAACAGGGTATTGTATACTTTCGAAATGGATAATTCGTACCTTTTTACTATTTTTTTCAAACTCTCACATGACACAAAATATTTTATAAACGTGGTGCTAGTCATAGATTATATGCCTACATACAATCGAGCATCATGACCGTCGGGTAGGTATTGGTATTGGTTTTGGTAGTGGGCTTCGGTTTCCGCTTTTAGACTCAAGAGTGGTTCTTTATGCGTCGAGGATTGGTTAGCTAGGTGAGCCAACCAAGCTCCTTCCAGAAGCGCAGAAGCCTCCTGGGGCGTTCACAGGCTTCTAGGAGCGATCTTGTCTCAGGAATGATACTTGCCCGTTGTGCGGGCACTCCCTCGCATTCCAGGACTACGTGGGCGGCCGTTGCCTTTGCTACCAGATATCCCCTGCACAGAGGGCTGTCCGTCGCATTGATGATGAAAAGGTGTCGGTTCAGGGCTAAGTGTCCTGTTAGAGTACCGACAACTATTCGGATTTCCTGTCTGCTAATCAATCTCCAAGTCAGCCGTGGTGTGACTTGAGTCATCACCAGTTTGGACTGTCTGCAGCCGGGTGAGTTTTTCCACCTCCGGTTGTGTGCTTCATGGGTCCGTTGCCTGGCCCAGAATCGTGTTTGGTTAAACGGTATTGGCAGGAGTATTGTTGGAACGGTAGCTGGGGTTGCCGAGACCCTCCTTGCCAACTCATCTGCGGCATCGTCCCGTGTGAGTTACTGTGCCCTTTAATCCATTGGAGGAGTACCACATTTAATGTGGCAAGCTGCTCCAATGCCTGATGGCATTCAAGGATAATACCAGAGGTCATTGTGTTGCCCTCCAGTGCCTTCAGGACGGCCATGCTGTCGGATAGTATTCGGATGTTATAGTCCTTGATACCCCTTGACATGGCCGTTGTGGCGGCGTAAGTTATTGCCACACATTCGCATTGGAACATGGAACTGTGTTGGCCTAACGCTAGTGATATGCCGTCGGGTAGGTATTAGAACATCTAAAATTAAAATATCTAAAGTTAAAACGCCGATGATCAAAACCCCTAAAATTACAATACCTAATGGTGGGTTGATCTAAATTCAAAATAGTGAAAGTTCTACGAAAGTTCACAAGCGCTGCGATAAAGATTTATTTTTTATTTATTTATATAAGGCTATTTAAATTCAAAGCAGAGGCTGTTATAATTGGGTCCATAAAAATATCACCAACCCTTTTTGTTCTTCATCAAGAGCCTTTAATAGGCTTCTCCTGAGAAAGGAGGTTTTGGCATACAAAACCACGCTGGTGGAGTTTGTGTAGGGTTTTTTTAAGTTTTCCATCTCTTTGCAGTTCTATTGACCTGCAAAGTTTCTCCCTCAGTCGGCTCTTACGACACCCACGGGATGAATAGGGCTGGTGACACTCTGTATTCTTAATCCGTCACCACACGGTGACTTGTTCGGCACTTATTTTTAATTACTGCTTCTGTTTACCACTTTACTGCAACTGCTTAGTATTGTTCTGAATTTGGGTGTAATTTAATTCAACTAACTGCACTTTTAAAATGGTTTAAAAGTGCAGTTTTAAAGAAAAGACAAGAGAATGAGAGAAATATCACGAGTACATCCGTAGGAATATTTAAAAAAAACAAGCAAATTACATGTTTAAAGACTTGTCGTTAAAAAAAGAAAATCTACGCATAATACAGTGTCTTAGTTTTTCAAACTAAAACCTTTTTATAGTTTAACCCCGCTGCCTTATACTTCTTAATTTCCTCGAGAGAATTACAGATTACGACCCGCTTTGGCCGTTGCAAGTTAGTAGAACATTGTCAAGCCCCATGTTCTACTTTGTAGAAAAGTTTAAGGAAGAACTTCATGAATTTTGATTAAACACACTGCATGTAGGTGGTAAATTATTATATTTTAACGATAATTACTACTAACTGTGGCATAAAACTACACTACATACACATAATAATGTATGTATATGCTGTGCAACGGGAAAAGACTTAATGGAAATGTTTAAAAATAAAGAAAACACCGTTTTTCAACTGGCTCTTTTTCAGATGTATTCAAATTATAAAAAGTTAATAACAGTTTAACTTCTCCTGGAAATCGACATAAAAAGTAAAACAAGATCTCTGTTCAGAACCTCTTTATTCCTCTGTGAAATAAAGTTAAAAAATATTAAAGATTTTAGCAATCTAAATAACAGGTAATGAACATCTGTGAAGGTTGAATAAAAGATCCAAACAATAACTTTTGCTCGGGAAAGTTTTTACTTACTCCGTTTCCCGTATTTTCACGCTTACTTCTATGACTGGTGTCAGTTAGTGAGCAATATTCCTGACTGTTAGGAAAAGAACGTTGGTTCGATTCCGAAATTCTGATTCTAGATTTAGTATATATTGCGTAACGAGCACCATAATTAGTTTTGTGTCTTTATGTATTTTACCTATGATATATATTTATATAGAAATATATAACTATTCTAGCTTACCCACGCAACTTCGCCTGCGTCTCTCAAAAAGAATAAAGTTCTCTGCTCTTACAGGTCGTAGACTAAAAACATTTTGTTGTGGACCGAATTGTGTATCTCAACCATTCTCGAATCGGTCCAGCCTCTTAGGAGTTCAGCCACATACACACGCACAGAAGAAATATATATATATATATATATATATATTTTACAACACCTTTAAACACTGCGGCAAATTTCTTGTTCTGTGATTTAACCATTTTTTTTCAATTCATATTTGTTTGTAATGAGGTATGACGTCATATTTTAGAATTTTATGCAAGAAATTACCGAACCTTCTGTCTTGACGTTTATTAAAAAGATATCACTTTGACTTGACAGTCGTTTCCCGCTTTAACTACATTTTTTTTTGCTTAAAAGTGAATTTTAAATATTCATCCCTACTGCAAATTCCCAGCCAGGCTACTTAGTATTCAAGCTGTTTCCCAGTCGCTTTGACAACCAACATAATAAGATTGGATATAATATGCGTCGAATTCGTTTCCGGCGACCACATGAAAATGCGGCCAGATAAAGCCTTATTAATATTTACAAATACACCGCATTTAAAGCGTATACATATATACGAATCATTATATAAGAAATGACGAGAACATGTTTAACAGATTTGCTAATATTCGTTAAAGATTAGTGACAGGTATAATTCGCAGATTAACCTTTTTTTAATCAAATTTCTGTTTACTGAGATCAACAATATTAACTAAACTTAATCACAATTTTTGTATGAGACAAACAAACCTAGGCACCAATGTAATCAACATTCAAGTCTGTCAGTTTTGCTGCTATAACCTTCAGGAAATACAAGTCGACTACTAATTTGAAATACCTCGCAGGTTTAACTTCTATCAGAGAGCTAGCTGCAACTAACCACTAGAGTTCTAGCAATTACTTAAGGTATAATAAAAACTTGGAGGAAAATACAAAAAGGAAAACAGGATGTTACTATTTTGATAGGCCAAATGACAGTTTATATCAAACTATCCGAACTTCTAAATAAAATAAATACCTTAATAAATAAATATAAATGTCACATAATTTGTAAATCGAAGTTAAGAACTAACAACTTAAAAGTGATTAACTAACTTCAACGTGCTGTCTTCGGGCAAACCAAATCTTGACTGCACGGATGACGTGGCGGTTTAGCGGTCGCCACTCCTCTTCCTACTATGCTGAGTGTTGTGGGTTAGATCCCCACAATGGACGACACTTTGTGTGATCCACAAATTGCCGTTCTGACTCTGGGTGTTCTTTGTGTCCATTTCATGTATGTTTGTTATGTCCCCTGCGACACAGGATTTATTCCTAGTGCGGGCGTTGTCTTTTAAAAAGGAAGAAGAAAAAAATCTTTACCATATCAATGTCCTCATGCAAATGTTCTGCTAAGCCCGAGTGGCTTCGAGTACCTACATTATGTTTCACTGCATGAATTGCCGATTTTCAACAGAGTATAGTGGGTGTAGTTAGATTGCATGCCATTAGGTTGTCCAATATCTTCGTCAATACAGATATTGGCCACTATATGTGTAGTGTATGGTCAATGTAACGATCAATAACATCATCATCATCATCAGCCTATTACAGTCCACTGCTGAACATAGGCCTTTCCCTATATATATAGCTTCTCGCTTCCAGCTCCTGGCAGGCATCTTGCGCAAATCGATCGTTGGACGATCAATAACGATCACCATTTTTAACAAAAGTTTAGTAACAACATATACAACTACTAGTAAAATCTGTTTATTTCTTTACATAGCCTAAATCGTACTAAGTAGTTTCCCCAAAGAATGATGTGCCATACTCTTCGAAATAGCGGCGCACACGCCGATCGCCAACTACAGCAGTTTCGTAGACGGCAGCTTGAAGTTGTTCAACCAATTCCACAGTGTTCCCGCTCAACGGGATCTCGCGGACGAAGCCGAAAAATGAGGAGCGCTCGGATTCCAATACGTCTGATGCCTTTAACAAAATATTTTAGTCATCGTTTTAGATACATTTACTAAACCATGAATGGCCAGATGTTTTGAAGACGATAGAATATGTCAAAACGGGTACGAAGCAGTGGTCCAACTGCTCTGTTCAACTAGGTTACTAGTTGGACTACGGGTCTGTACTAGGGGTCGTGGTCCAACTATTTCAGAACTTGGACTAAAAATTCAAGTCAATTTTTTTTATGTTTATTATAAACTACCTGTTGCTCGCGACGTCGTCCACTTGAATTTCTAACGGCAAAAAGTTATCATGTATTTGTCTATAATTATATTTAACTAGCTGACCCGCGCAACTTCGTCTGCGTCTCTCAATAGTAATAAATTTTCTCCGTTTTTGAAACATTCTTCATTGGTGCTCCGCTCCTATTGGCCTTAGCGTGATGATATATAGCCTATAGCCTTCCTCGATAAATGGGCTATCTAACACTGAAAGAATTTTTCAAATCGGACCAGTAGTTCCTGAGATTAGCGCGTTCAAACAAACAAACAAACAAACAAACTCTTCAGCTTTATAATATTAGTATAGATTTAATAGTCAATAAAAATAAGAGGTGGCTGAAATAAGTTACTTTAATTATTATCCAATACTATTAATCTATTATCTAATTTACAATAATGCTTCTCTATACACTGTATTATCCGTATCGTCGTCGGGGATCAAAGCATACAGCTTTCTAAGATTACTAACACGCGACAGAGTCACATAACGCTGACCGTGCGAAAAATAACCAATAACTCTTTAGACATGCTCTTACAGAGTCTGACGAAAGTCGCCACAAGAAGTAATGTAATATCACCCATCAGCCTGGTCCATGAATTAAGTATTAACAAATTGAAGTCTTTAGTAAAACTAAAACTATGTGGAAAAGCTTACTACACGATTGCAGATTATTCAGATGACAAATTTGATTAGGATTGATGCTGTTCACTCCCACATTTACGTTACGTTCCTATCCTTGTTGTTATGTTTAAGCTTATTTTTTTGTGTATTTTGTATTTTTTTTGTTTTCAGTTTGTTTATTTTTCGTTGAATTTGAATTGTATAGTTTTTTTTTTGTAAGTATGTAAATGTGAGTATAGTGTAGGCTTATAATGTTAATTCATATTTTAGTAACTTTCTGGTGGTTTTGAGTGTTTCCACGGCATACCGGTACTGCTGGCGGTAGTATCGTGCTTTGGGTCGTTGATCTTGACCAACATCGGTTAAGCTACACGATGGCTGGGGCCTGTATGCCGTCTGTAAGGACAGGCCGGCTCAAAACTATGGTCCTTTCTTCAAAAGGCCTACCCAGACCCTATACTGTACTCGCAGTTTTATTTTTTTGTTAGGTGTAGTTGTTAGTTGTACTAAAAAAAAACACTTCTGTGGTTTGTTTCAGCGTTTCTTCCCAGAGTAAGTCTTAGGAAATGCCGGCTCCTTCTAGCTGTAAAGTCCAACTTGTAAAAATATCTGAAAAGATTTACTTACAGAAAAAAAATATTATTTATCTTTTCTCAATTATGACTAATATCACGTATTTTGCCAGTGAAAGTCCCGTCGAAATCGGTCCAGCCGTTCCAGAGATTACCCGGAACAAAAAGACAGACAGACAAAAAAATGTTATTTTTGCATATGTACCGTGTAAACATACATATGCATTTAGTAAAAAGCAGTTATTTTAATATTACAAACAGACACTCCAATTTTATTTATTTGTATCCCATATAATTAGATAACAAACAAGTAAAACCTTAGCTGTATCGCTGCTTCTAGAAATATTACAAAGAATACTATCTGTGCGATCTAAGACGATCGGAATTTTAAACATACTATGGCTAGTTTCCCCTCAAAGTGGCTGCTATACCCGATGAAACGATAGCAAGCGCAATTTTACTTTGGTTTCTTGCCTTCGTCAAAATCAGTTCGGTAAGAAAAATCTTTCCCATTCCACCGGGAGCATCTAAAACAACATTTCTCCCAAAAGCACAGTCTACGCTGCGACACACAGGATCGAACCACCATACCTCCTAGAGATGTGAATCCAGAGTAGTCAATTCTGGGTGAATACAAAAAGCCTGCTTCTCCTTGGTTACCCATGGAAGGATATCAATTAATGCTCCTGTTTCTAAGTTTTCTATCCAACATGTCGGAGTCGATCGGTATTTAATTGTAACACTTCTATCAGTCGTAACAGTTTCTTCATGCCGTATTTCCCTAATTTTTTTCTCTCATCTAATAAATAACGTTCCTCATTCCGATGTTTTTAATGCTGCCTGGCTGTTTCCAATCTTTGTCGGAATTCATCATCCTTTTTAAGAGTTATGGCAATGTTGAGTCGCTCACGATCGGCTGTTAATCGAGCTTCACTTTATAAATTACTTTCTAGCTCTCTATACTGCAGAGTCCGACCTCTTTGAGAGCTCAATGAAGGTTTCTCTGTCAGTGTAGGTCTCAGATTCAAGTGAGAGCGCATGTGCCTGAACTGCAGTTAAACGTACTTCGTGTTCTTCAGGGATCTCCTGAGAACGAATACTTGCTGTCCGAACTCTCTGAGAATTGAAGCGAGTATCCCTGTCAGTGAAGGTTTCAGACTCACGCGATAGTGCATGTGTTTCACGGTCGGCATTTTAATGTGCTTCGCACTTAAAAAATATTTCAATGATAAAAAGTTAGACTCCTAAGTGACATAGGTTATAGTTAATTATGATAAATAATATATTTCAATGTAAAATATCAACAGTTGTAAACTAAGACAGAGAAAAATTTACCAGTTGCACGCTTTATCGGCGTGCTCTGGGCAAACGATTAAAATTAAAGGAATATATGACAAAAATAGTAGTCTCTAGTAGATCTACAATAAAGTCTGCGTCACCATATGTCTAACTCTCATATTTAAGAGACAGAATAACTTTTTTTTTTTGTTTAAAGAAAAATAAAAATTATAAAGTAATGTTTAGGTGAATTTATGACGTAAGGTGGGTGGACCATGGAAGGCCACGCTCCTTTGAAGGCCAACTATTAAAAAGTCGTAGTTATTGACATGTAAAGACATATTCCTTCTACTACACACTACAATCCATCAAACTGAAGGCCACAGACGCGGCTGCGAGTCGCTCGCGCCACTATTGTGGCAGTGCGATCTCACACTTCATAGACTTCGGTCGTCCGTAAGTTTTTAGTTAAATAACCTATTGTTTCTTTATATTTTTTACTGTGAATTGTCGTGTAAGGATATTTTTATGGAACTCAAGAAAAAAAAAAGAAATTGCCTCGATTTAAGTGAAAATATTGGGAGTGTTCCTAGGAAAGCCTGTGGTTCCTTATAAGGCCAATCAAAAAATTGACGGTTGGCCTTGCTAGGGAACATGGGCCTTACATCTATAAACCATGAACATATGAACACTTATTATGTGGTTATAAATACGTACCGTTAAAGTTAAAACAAAAAAAAAAAAAAAAAAAAAAAAAAAAAAAATTTTTTTCAAAATTATTTTATTTTCAGTATTTATATTTAAATTTATTTTATGTCTATGAAGAGGTTATGTCTGGAAATAAACTAAACTAATTTACATGAAAAGCTACGAATATAAAAATATTTGCTTGATAAAAGCGGTAAAGTAAGTATGAGATAAGTTAAAAATTGTATATCTAAGATAAGTAGTCTGTCTAAAACTATAATTAAAGCAAAAAAAAAATTATATCAATAAGTTGGTAATTGAACAGATGATTAAAATTTATACGTATTATTTCAGATTTCAAGAATGTCACAGTCAAAACCTAGAAAAAGAGGTAGTACATGGAACGAAGATAGTTTAAGATTTTAAACATTCCTGACTACAAGACTGACTATGTGCCATGATAAGTTTTTAATAATAACAGTACGTCTGTAGTGTCTATTATTTGATTATAATTAATATAAAAAAGTCATAGATTGTTAGTTTGGCCTTCTTAGGAACATTGTGGCCTTACGAAGAACGGAGCCTTAAGAAGGCCATATAAGGTAAAAAAAAAGTTTTTAATTTGATTATAAAACGCGTTGGCAAGTTATTTTATATCAATATAATATTTATTACTACTAGTTTTAAATAATTTCCATTAATATATTTTTAGTTATAAGATGGTGTTCAAGTTATGTTCATTGTGCTTTTTATAGATAATAAAAATATATTGTGCATTTAATGTTTCGCTTAAATGAAAGAGCTTATTATGTACTTTTAGTAAAAGCGGATATATTAATTGTTACAACTCTATTTTTAAGTTGAACGACTGAATTATAATATTGGCCTTGTTTGGAGCCCTGTTCCTTGCAAGGCCATTTGGAAGAGCTTAATAAAACTTAAGTTTAATAAATAGTTATTAAAGCTAGGTAAAAAAAAAGTATTTTTTTGGTACACAATAAACCAAAGTATGCCTTAACAATTTGTTTCCTTCATTTATCCAGTAAATATACGAATAAAAAGTGTTTATTCTTTAGAGTGGCCTTCCATGGTACGCCCACCTTACATTATATGCGTGTGTATAAAAAAAAAGAGTTTTATCACTACGAAAATTTTATAAAGATAACATTTAATTTGAGTTTTAGTTTAGTTTTAGTTCATTTAATTTGAGTTTAGATAAGGAGATAATTTCATATAACCAAAAACGCAAGATGTAAACGACAGTCACTTTTTGACGTAATTTTTTAAATTGAGTTAAGTTTTTTATTTGTGAACCGATTGAAATAAAACAAACACTAAATTTTAAGTGAACAACTAAACCTCTTTCCATTCCTTAAACAATGAATGCATGTTAACTACCTTCTATGTTGAATTGAGTAACCGAAATATTAGTCTTACTCGTTATGTATAACAGATTGAAACCAGCCCCGGATCTAGGGGAATGCAAATCGGAGCACCCGCCCCGGGCGGCATTTTAAGGTAGCGCCAAAAATCTTAATACATGGCTTAAAATAAAATAAAAACAATGAACTGTTACGTCCTAATTAATTTAATATTTGTGGTTTTTTTTAGTTACCTATCTCAAACGCTGGCAAATTGTAGATCCCTGGCTGATTGAAACCATCGATATGGCTAAGTTTGCTGCGACGCGGAATTGCAACATACCCTTTATAACTTAAGTCTTTAAAATACCCTTAGAACAATATAAACTGAACTAAAGGGTGCTTGTAAGAAATTGTTCTTTCGCGAAAGTATGATGTACTAAACTCGTGTGCAATTAAGTTTATTCTATCTTATTAACGCCTTTGGTTTTTAAGTCTTCTTTCGGCTTTCTGTCGTCTCTGCCTACCCCGGATGGAAATGAGGCGTGAGAGCAAGTATACAACGTATTTATGTAGAGAGACGTATTACGTTGATGTTTTTGGTTTTTACAATTATTTGCAAATCCTCTGGTATTACCACTTTAAGAGCCCTTTTTTTCTTTGTGCTTACGTTGCCTATTTTTACGTAAAGCAATACCGATGGCTTTTTAAATTAAAAAAACAGTAGCACTCCGGGAGTACCGACAGAAGTAAAAACTTGAAAATTTAATATTTTTTATTATAACAGTTTTTTATTGTATTTTTCGATTCGAAGCTCCGTTGCTGAAGCGTTCGAAGCTGTCTTATATTTAGTTATATTTTCAATGTATTTCAACCCAAACTCAACTCTCGCGTAAACGAGGCCATTATATGTAGATACTGATATATAGACCTCTATATATCAGTATCTACATATAATCGCCTCGTATACGTCGGTAATGGTAACAGTGTCGCGAGTTCAATGGTTTATCCCCCATCTCAAAAATACATTCTTTTGTTTGTTGTTCAACAATGCCCAACGCGCCTAAAGTTTTTCCTTAAAAAACTCACCGCCATTGTAATGGTTCCCAGAAATAATAGCACACTAATCTTCATTATCTATCTATCTATACAAATTTACATTATATTTTTAAAAATTACAGCATTATATTCTGCTTATACAATCAACATTTGAAAAAAGAATGTAAACTGTAAAAAGAACTATAAATTTTATTACTGTACTGTTATTGCGAAAATCAAATAGTTTGCCAGAAACGCATTAAATATTTTTACAAAGAATGAAAACAAAAGTACTGGAATATTGACCAAATTTATTTACAAAATAAAAATAATGTTTAATTCAATCAAAATAAGTACTGACAGAATGTAATAAGCATATTTTATATTATTAAAGTTAAAAATATATCAGGATTCGAAGTATAAACAATGAAATAAGGCTAATACAAATATAGAAGTAGATATCAAATGACTAAACTCATTTTTAAGTGTGTGTATACTTGTAAGTTAGACTAAAACAGGATAAGTTTTTGAGGAATTATTGTCTTATCTATCTGAACTAAATATGCAATTTATCCCTTCAATATATGAATGAATGTACTGAATGCTATAAGATGTGCTTGAATTTTCCTGTCTGCAGCAGATAGTTCCATATATACTCACTTATTATTTCTGTATCAATTTTAAAAAAAGTATTTCAAACAGTTCTTACCCTGTTATTTGTAATTATAGTTAATATAGTTCTAGCTATAGCATAATATAAATGAATTAAATATATTCAAGCTTCAACAGCGAGTAGCGTGTTGGCATATTGGAACTCTGGGCTGTTTTCATACTCAGACATATCTAGGGCCACTTCACAGCTCTCGCGAACCACGGGACGAGGATCTTGCAAATACCTGTAATATTTGAATACAAATATGTTATGATATAAAACTATTTCAGATTTCCTTATCTAGAAAGTAGTTTAATTACGGCATTGTTTTTCAAAGAAAATTAAAACCAAAAATGTTCAGTTAAAAAAAGCAATTCAGTCAGGGGGACACATTTAAAAAAATATTTAATCCTGAATGGCCACCAGTCAAGTACTGGTAATGCAAAGCCTAGTCCAGTATGGCAACCAGTCTAACTGCCATGAGCAACCACACTATGCTGTAGTAAAGTTGCTTATTTGTATAAAGATATTTGTTTAATAAAACTAGCAAAAACATTTGAAGTGTAAATGCCATTCTAGCCCTTTGGCTTACATACTCGTAAAATGATATAGTCCAAAAACATAGATTATATATCTTCCAATGTAATCTATGGTTTTGTAAGAAATTTTACCATACAACAGTACTTTCTCACTATACAGGCACAGTGGAGGGTTTGTATACTAAATAGAGTGGATATTATAGTATTATATACAGTTGTAGTTTCCAAACTACTTCCGAGTATTGCTTAATAACTTACTTGTCCAAAATAATAAAATAAAGATATTTTACCTTTGTAGAACTTCAGTACATTCTTCAGTTGCAATAGATCCTAGTGCTTCAGCAGCTTCATGTCTGACCATCTCATGCTCATGTGTGTTTTCTAGTGTTGACTTTAAGAATGGCACACTCCTCTCATCTTGCATCTGGCCAAAGACAAATGCTACTTCATGTCGGAACAGTGCACTGGATGCCTTAAAGCCTGAAATTGAATGACAACCAAAACACATTAAAAAAAGTGGGTTTATTAGAGACTCAGTATGTAAATAGAAGCAGCAACTTATTAAGGTGCTATGGGACAGTAGAAGCACGCAGAGCAAGCCAACTGTTAGTGTAAGTAACACCACAAAGTTTTAGGCCCAGTCCAGCCCAATGATAAATACATTCTGTTGTAAGAAGACTGAACATTGCAATCAAGTATATATGATATATATATATATATATCATGATGCAAAAAGCTATCTGAACTACATTAGAGTTTATGTTGAAAATTATGCAATGTACACAAGGGTAGAACTTGTATTTCAACTTCTAGATTGAAATCTATGTTCATTCAATAAAGTATTCATCACAAAGCTCAATAACACTCAGTGGGTACTATAGAACACTTTTGTAAACACAATTGTATAGGTCAATTTTCTGAGAAATCATTACTTGTCTGCCCATGTTTACTGAAACTAGTGCCACAGATAAACAAATCATGTTGCAATTCTTAGAAAACTAATAAGAACATTCCATACCCTGTAGGTAGTATATTTTATACTAATAAGATGGCAAACAGTTGTCAACCAAGAAAATACAGTTTCTGTTTAATATATAGGTTTCAGATATAGGTTCATGGGTGCAATTGAAATATTCATGCTGGTAAAGTACTTTAGTGATATGAGATCTTAAGAACTGAAGACAACTTATCTAATTGATAAAATGTTTAATAAAACAGAAAAACTAGGTAGAATAAATATGCATAATACCAATACCATACCTTCACCCAAAGCATTAATACTTTCAGTAGTGCCAAGGTTCCTCAAACTGAACATAGCTCTATATCTTTCAAATAATGACTCTTTTTCATCCATCAAAACAGCTTTGAGTATGTCAACATCTTTTTCATTGCTCGGAGGGGCAGGATCTACAGATAAGTACAAACTCTTTGATTGACTTTCTTCATCTGAATTAGCTACCCAGTTAAGTCTATGCAAGGCTATTTGGCAGGTCTCGGCAACTTCTACTGCAGGATCTTGCATGTATTTTTCAAGTATATCACGGAGTTTTGGATCACCAATAGCACCTAATGCTTCAGCTGAAATAATAATGAAATCATATACTTATTTGACTTCTTCCTCTCTAGAAAATTACAAACAAACATTAACTCACACCTATTCCTAAAGGGGTAAGCAGCTGAGAATTAAACAAATACATTTAGCCAACTTTAAATAGGTCCTATTTAAGGCCCTGGCCTTCCATTCATTAGTGACAAATAAGAGACCTCTAATATTGTAGAAAATGCATTGATTTTAATTTGAAAAAAGATTTATGTATGGAATTTATGTATAGGAGCAGAGGACTACCAAAGAAAAGATGAATAGACTGTGTAAAAGAAAATATGGCTAGAAAGGGAATAAGCAGCAAAGTAATGAGTGATAAAGTTATGACTTACAGGTCAGAGGTAGTTCGTAGGAGGAGAATGGAAGAAGAAAAATCATTGTGCCATCCTCATTTAAATTTGAGAAAGGAGAAAACATTGACTGCAATTATTTTTAACCGACTTCAAAAACAAAAGAAGAGGTTCTCAGTTTGTCTTTTTTACTTGTTAAAAAAAACATGATATGAAACAGTAAGATGACTTAGATAATATTTAAAAATAGTATTTCCTCTGGAGAGGAACTGGTCATTTGCATAATATATAAACTACAAAGGTAAATTATGTATACTTTATATAATATATGCTACACTATATGTTAGAGTATGACAATTTTTTTTCCTAATTATTATTTTTTACTACAAAAGTAATAGACATACTATTCTAACCAACTATTGTAAAGGAATTGATGCAAATTGATAAGTATGATGTGTTTAATTATCAGGCAATGCCAATTTAATTCCTTATTGGTTTTGTGTGTGAAATCCATGAATATAGTATACCCACTAGTATTGATCTACGTTATTTATAATATGTGTGTATTTAAGAAAGAGATTAATTTAAGAGTGATTATCTGTATTCTAAAACCCATGCTCTCACCAAAATCTTTACTTTTGATAAGTGCATGCTTTTGGTATTTTATGGCAATGTGTAATATGACAGAATTTTATGATTACTACATTTTTTTTCTGCAAATACCATGAATTCTCACGTAATTCTAATCACATACGCTATCACACATTTAAAGTACTGTAATAGATAACAACTCACCAGCTTCGTGGCGCACTATAGGATCTTGCTCTTTATCTTCCAACAAACTCCTTAGCACAGGAATTGCACGTTCATCTTGCATCTGACCTAAGCAGTATGCTAGTTCATGCTTTAGTAGAACAGATTTGTCTGAGAAACATTGGCTAATGCATTCAATTGCTGTTTGGCCGCCTAAGTTCCGCAGAGTAAATAATGCTCGAAAGCGCTCCTTCATCGGCCTTGACGAATCGTTAAGGACTTTGCCAATATCTTTTATAACAGTTTCAGGAGTGTTAGTCATTCTAATAGGATAAATAAATAGTAAAATATATTTCACAAAACTGCCGAGCTTGGACTCAACGATACGGTATGTGAGCATGCGGCAATGACACTGACAGCTAACTTGACAAGCAAAAACAAATGACGTAAATGACAAACATGTTTCACAGTGTTTCTTTTTTTCAAATGACTACCTTTACTGTGGTGTTAGCCTGTACTTTTACCGTTTTTTAGAAATCTCATAGCAAAAGGGAAAATCGGTTTAGTACATAATATATAGTACTATAATAATATAAATAAATATTTATAAATGTGTAGTATATTGCAATTGGTTTTGGAACAGTATAATACAGTTTAAAAATAGGTATGTTTTACTTGTGCACATAAGGACAACATTTTCTTTCTCATTAATTACGCAGATGTTATTTTACTTTTAATTCAATTACTTAGATCGTAGCATGACTTTTTCACCATTTGCAATTAACGAAGTTATATATTACTAGCTGAGACCCGCGGTGTTACCCGGGCAACGCCGCGGGGCGAAGCTAGTCTAAAAAAAGTAGCCTTAGTTACTCCTTATGTCATCAGCTATCTGCCAGTGAAAGTCCCGTCGAAATCGGTCCAGCCGTTCCAGAGATTACCCGGAACAAACAGACAAAAAGTGTAAAAAATGTTATTTTGGCACTAGCTGAGACCCGTGGTGTTACCCGCGTTCGTTGTTATAACTGCGGGCAACGCCGCGGAGCGAAGCTAGTCTAAAAAAAGTAGCATAAGTTACTCCTTATATCATCAGCTATCTGCCAGTGAAAGTCCCGACGAAATCGGTCCAGCCGTTCCAGAAATTACCCGGAACAAACAGACAGACAGACAGACAAAAATTGAAAAAAGTGTTATTTTGGCATATGTACTGTGTAAACATACATATGCATTTAGTAAAAAGCGGTTATTTTAATATTACAAACAGACACTCCAATTTTATTTATTTGTATAGATGTATAGAAGATAGATAACTCTTTAGGTTTGTGTGACCACCACAGATAACAATTTTTCTTTGATAGAAAGAAAGATATTACTTTTAAAAGAAATAAAAATTTGTTATAATTCTCTTCCATCTATTCAAAAATTAAAAAAATATTTTTGCTTTTATTTAGCTACGTTTTCTACATTCCTTTTATCGGTTTAATTTCACTTGCGAGGTTATTTCCATTTTTCCTAGTACTAGATTTAAAGGGTTTTTTTTGTGTTAAAACATAATTAAAATGGAATGGAAGTACTATTTTATCTGTGTCGTTTATCAGCGCCCAAATTTTCTTTACTACCCACTTTTTCATCACTGTTCTTGAAAAAAAGTTGTCGCGCATTTAGTCATCAGGTGTTCGTCGTGCCGTCCCCAAAAATATAAAAGGTAAATAGATGGAAACGAATAAAATAATAATAATTAAACAATAATAACCACAATTATTTTATTTATTTTACTATTATGTTTGATTTTTAACATTTTTTATTTATTTCTACCACCTATTGCATAGGATTATTATTTACAGCTATTAGTGTCATCATCATCAGCCTATTGCCGTCTACAGTTGAACGAAGGAGGCCTCCCCGAGGAGCGCCAACCATCCCGGTCTTGGGCCACCAGCATCCATCCGCCGCCAGCCATTTTATTAAAATCTACTATAGCGGCGTCTGATTGTATTTACATAATTTGAGTGGATGCATTAGAACATATACATAAATTAATGAAATTCATCATATTATTTAGAATTCATACTTGTGTCTGTTGAGTAGCAGATGTTCACAGGCGGCGGTAGTCACTTGACCCGTCTGCTCGTTTGCCTTTTTACCATAAAAATTACTCTATAATAAAATACATATCAAGTTAAAATGTTATATATAATAATTGCAATTCATTATTTGCAGCAAGATCCAAAGAATATTAACTGCTACTACACATATTCGCCATGGAAGACTTGAAACCCGTAGTACCAGTTAACAATCAAGAACTGAAATTCTTGAAAAATATTTTTGAAGAAACAAAATATTTTTGGGTAAGTTACATACTTTTTTCAAACTTTTTTAACGTTATCATTCGTTTTTAACGTATGTTGTATTTGTGTTTATTTCATTAATTATATATCATCACATTGGAGCTTAATTTAAATATGATCTCACCTGGAACATCTCCAGCCCACATAAGATTGCGGTAACCGACACCACTACAATAGAATTCAAAATAAGACTGACTGTCTAGTCTTAGAAAAGTGACGCCTCGTTAAAAAAATAGAGGACACCTCTAGTAATTTATAACCCCATTTTGTAATGTGAACCTAGAACATTTTTGCTTTACCTGAGCTATAAAATATATGATTTATTTTTAATCATCCCCATCACACGTAGTGGATATAACATTAGTTAAAACCTGAAACCTAAAATTTAATTGACTGGTTCATAATGGTTTAGATTGATCTTAACTTTCCAATTCTAAATTTACAACAAAAATAATAAATAATAAATAGGATAAGCAAAAATAAGGTGGTACTCGTCAACAATTGGGATAGTTCCGAACGGGGGGTGATTGTATTGGTTATTCGATAACATGCACGCATTTCTATTTCGGTGTTGTTATTCAACTGCTAGAACATAGTACAATATTATCATTTCATCAAAGAAACCAAGAAAAAGTTAACAACTTGACCCAATGTTGGTCAATTTACTAACCACTCGAACTGGCTAATCTTAAGTTTTCTCGTATTAAATAAATAATCTTAATTCTAAAAATATGGTTGTATAAAGATTTTAATAGTATTATGTGGGCAGAATATGACGTAGGCACCTAGCCTACGTCATATTCTGCCGCTCGTTTAAATATTGATATCAATTTACTAAAAAGAGATACATTTTCAGCTTGCATTACAATTATATTAATCAAAAACCTAACTATTTATACATAAATATTACCTTAACTTAATTCTAACCCGTCTTACGTCCTCGTATTTGTAACGTTTTAGAATTTTGTACAAGTAGAGGTTGTTTACGACAACAATTTGCAAAGATATTAGGGTATTACCATATCTACCGAAGATATGCACATACATAATTTATCAATCTCCGAAGTGTTGCTATTGATATACCTATGTTTCAGTAGGTAGTATAGTATACCTTTTTTCTTTTTTTTTCCGTGCGGGAATCCCCTCGGATACCACCTATCGGTGGCATGTCGGACTCGAACCGACTAAAACCGCACGCCGTCTCGGCTACTAATAGCTGGGGAACCAGGTATACCCTAGAAAGGAAGTCCCTGGTGCCCCGACATACATAATATCGAATGCCGATTATTTTATAATCATACTGTCTTCTGTGTCTACTGCTACGAATTGATTTTCTTATCCTTCGATACTAGCGATCACTTGCATTGGTACGGTAATCGATAGAAGTGTATGGAGCAGCTAAGCAGTTTTATCGCAGTCCAACTGACTAAAACCACAAATTTTTACCATCATATGATTACGAAAAGTGCATTTTTTTACACTAAAATAAATCAAAACAGAATGTTGATCTATCATCAAATATTATGTAGGTATGTACGTGATTGTTTACTTATAGAATATAAGTACCTATAGTAATAAGTAGAATTATGTATTTTATAAAAAGCTAAACAATGACTGATATATAAATTTATTTAAAACCGAGATTATATAGAAAAATACATTTAAATATAGAGAAAAAGATATTGATGCAACTAAAAAGATTTTTTTCAATGCGAACTAGTAGTTCCTGCGATTAGCGCCCATTCAACCAAACTAACTTCAGATTTATAATATTAGGATAGACTTATTCTGCTAAATTGACCTATAATACGAATGGCGGTTCAAAATCAGCCAAAACTTATTTACACTGAAATAGGCAAGAAAATTATGAGAAACAAAATAAAATATTCTTACAAGATTTTAACATCAAATTACACAATATTTTTTTTTTTTACATATTTTTGTAAAGTGGGTAGGTAATTGTATACCAAACACCTTCCCGGACATATCTAAAGTAGGTTACTAAAACAATCTCTGATATAGATCTAATATAGATTCTTCATAATATAGATTAATCATCTAGGTATTAATTTTCATATTATAAAAATTATTAAAAAACTCTGTCTATTACGTACTTTGACATCTACCATAATATACTAGATGTTCTCTCTCAACTATTTTATTTAGCATTGTAAATAATTAATAACAGGGTTAGGCACATGACTAATATGACAAATTGAGCGCACTCGGTAGGCTTTGTTAATAGTCTCGTTTGCCTAAAACTTCTTTCAACACGCAAAACTTATATTTATGACTATTAATCTTTAACCATCTTCCACAGGGAGACTGGACTTCGCATGTAATTATCACCATATCGTTAAAACGTTTAGTAAATTACCTTTAAATTATATTACATAGTTTTAACCCTTTATTTGCATATAATAATTATTAAACATATTTTTGGGAAACTTTCGGCATAATGAAAAACCGTTTCCTATAGTAATATTCAAGTATCGAGCAGACAGGTCATAGGTCGTAAGTGACTACAGCCGTCCATGGACACATGTTATTTAAGTACCCCCCTTGAATAAACCATGTTGGGTCTTTACTAACCTCCATGACTGGTGGTTTAGGGCCTTTTTTGTACGTTTCGACAACAGCACGGGCCGTCACAAAATCGGGATTTGCGGTTGGGCGGTGTGTTGGAATGGAAAACCACACGGTGTACCATACAAGCGCCTTAAATAGAAGAGATCCGGGAACAGCTTTTATTTAGATAGCTGGATCCCTCCTAGCACCTGCCCCCAAAAGTGCAGGCACCACCATCGGTAAAAACTCTAATTTAGGCGATGTACAAGCACACGCAGAGGACACCTCCTCTCGGTTAGGCCTCTGTGGTAGGAGGGGAAAACCTGTCCCGTTCACATGCGACCACACTTTGAGCGCCCGACTTGAGATTATCGGGGGCACGGGCCCTCCCTGCCGCGTCCTTCTG